CCAAAGTTTTTTTTTTAGATAATGTAATCTTGTTAAAATTGATTTAATAAAATTGGTATCGAAAAAAGTATCGTTCAGGAACCGGTATCGAAGTCAAGGTATCGGTATCGAAAAATTTTGAACGATACCCAGCCCTAGTGATAAGCATGAGTTCTGGGCCGCGGCGCGGCCGGTATGAACACCAGAATGACTGATCAGCTCCGGTGGCCGTAACACAGGCTTTAATGCTCATGCCAGATCCTACTTACAATCAATTATTTTTAATAAATGTTAAATCTATTTCAAGAGTTGTCTTGAATGATATAAATAAGTGCTGCTAGTTTTCAGTTGAGGGGATAAAGAGTATTTTCTCAGTCAAAGTTTCTGTTATCTGATCTGTTAGAGTTGCAGTTTTGGTATTTAATGTGTTTACGTTTATCACAGGACACTGCTGGTCAGGAGCGTTTTCATGCCCTTGGACCCATCTACTACAGAGATTCCAATGGCGCAATATTGGTTTACGACGTCACAGATGAAGACTCGTTTCAGAAGGTGAATGTTTTCTCACTTACGTCTACTTTAAAACATCAAAATCAAATAATAAATATATGAGAACCAACAATAAATGTATTAAATCAGTTGGCAAGTTCTCTATTGTGCTCCAAGACACAATAGTATCCCCTGTATTGTAGCTTGTAGATAAATGCGGTAAATATGATTTGTTCCTGCTGTAAACTAACAGACTAACTTTTGTTTTCTTGACAGGTGAAGAATTGGGTAAAAGAATTAAGGAAAATGTTGGGGAATGAGATCTGTTTATGTATAGTAGGTGAGTAACGTTCATCATTTATTAACATGCTTCATGTTTTGTGTCTAACACATGTTTGTTATTTATTTATTTATTTGGTCTTGCAGTTTGAAGTTGAATTCTACAAATGTCTTTTTAATTTTCCCCACTGGTTTTGGTGGCAAATCTGCTGAATAGATATAAACATGTTACAGGGTTCCCCAGGTTATAGAAAATATGAGATAATTTATTTTAAAATAGTAAAAGCCTGGGAAACTCATATAAATTGATTTAAAATCGTGGGAATATCACATTTTTCCAGATTTGCGCATCTTTAAAATATTTCATCAGTTATAACTTGCTTGCGCAACCTCAGAAAGGATTTACTTGAAATCCTTAAAGGACTGGAAAAAAACATGGCTTAAGCTGAATAATGACACTATTGTCTTATTAGAGCTGTTACAGCAGAGTTTGGATTTGTCTTATATTTGATTAGGTTTGCATCAATGATTCTGTTTTGTTTTTGTAAACTATGTAAATAAAGCTAACTTGAACTTATATCCATTTAGCCATTTTGGTCTAATATTTATGGTTATCTGCTGTGAACATTTACTATAAGATCTTTTTTTTTAGGCAATAAAATTGACATGGAAAAAGAGCGACATGTTTCAGTGGAGGAAGCAGAGGGGTATGTACTTCAATCATGTTTGCGTTTTTACAGGTTTTTTTAAAATATGCATTGTGGATAACAGACCATATGTAGGAAACCTTGTCTTTCTGTTTAATGTGGTAATGTGGTTTTGTTCATGCAAATTAACACTATTAAAATTTAGCTATAGCTGTATTTGGTTTTATTTTTTCTTAAAATCTAAATTTGCTTGACTATCGGCAGAAAATTCTTGGAGTCGAGATGCCGTTTTCCTCTCCATAGACCATAATAATCATGTATAATCATGTATCGGCGGCAGCAATAATTGGAGATCAATGTCATGGCATGCAAATCCCAGTTCTGTTTTTACAGCTGAAGCTCGTGCTTTACTGCTGGCCTTGGAAAATATAGAAAATGGACAAGAACGTAATTTCTTAATCTTCACCTGCATTCAGGCACTTGAATCTGACCGTCCCACAATCATAAGCATCTTAACTAAATAGATATTTTATGCAAGAAAACTTAAGTATCTTTTTCTGCTGGGTTCCAGGTCATATTGGCCTATCTGGTAATTAGAAAGCAGACATTGCTGCAAAGGAGGCTCTTAACTTAAATTCAGAGTGTCAAATTCTACCCTCTGATCTTAGACCATTTATAAACTCTTATATTAATAACATGTGGCAGATGGAATGGGATGAATGCCATGGAAATAAGTTGCATGGAATAAAACCTAGCATAAAAAGAATGTTTTTTTTTTATTCATTTCAAATCTAGGTATGATCAAGTTCCTTTTTACTAGGTGCCGTTTAGGGCATACAAGACTCATACATAGTTATTTATTAAAAGGTGAACCACCACTATTATGCCTTCCTTGTCACACTACAGTGACTGTTAAACATTTTTTTATTGGACTGTATTGTTTTAATGTAAATAGACAACGATTTTATTCAGAGATGTGTTTAACTGATGTATTTAAAAAAGCATCACCTGAATGTAGTTTAGATTTTTTTTGTGTGTAGTTATTTTAATCTTAAATGTCTTTATATAGCTTCTTGTTAATTGTATGTATTTTGTTATTTATTCTGTTTTCGCCATGAAGATCTTTGCTGATGACATGGCATTAAATAAATAAATTTGGCTCCATTTATCAGCTATCAGCAGTATTGTTTAATCAGTAATCAGATTTGGTTCAAAAAAGGCTGTATTGGTCAAAGTGACCTGAGACATAGATATCATATACAGTAAAATGTCTATGTGACTACAATGTATTTGTTTTGTTTTTTAATATATTATAAATGTAAACATACAGTTTTGTATATCCATAATCTATAATGTCTTTCAAACTAAACATGGTATATTATACCTTTTGGCTGTGGGTGTATGACGATCACATGCACTTAAAGACTGGTCACATGATTTAAAGAATCACAAGATCGGTCCACACAAGTGGGTATAAAAAGTCTGCACACCCCTGTTAAAGTTTTTTTTTTTTTTTTGAGATGTAAAAATGCAGAAAGTCAGATCTTTTTTTTTAGCCTTTAATGTAATATTGAAACCAACAAAATGAATGTAAAAAAAGAAATGTAAAACTTAAATGTACTTGGTTGCATAAGTGAGCACACCGATTTATAATGGAGGCATGGTACTCTGTTTGGAATAAGCCAATCACATTCAAACTCTTACTGAAAAGTAACGGTGTAAAAATGATCTATGCACACCATTTTAAAATTCATGTGCACTCATTATCTTTCAAGGGGTCATATGATGCGATTTCAATTTTTCCTTTCTCTTTGAAGTCTGTAGAGTAGCGCTTGTTGTTTGTCATTTCTCCGATCACAAATGCAGACATGGTTTTATGTTTACACAGCATGATACGCAACTCAACGTGTTAAAAGACAGTATAAGTCATTATAATCCGTAATTATGTCCCCACTGGATGCAACAAATGCCTCGTTTATAATGGGTTTTAATGTTTTTGTCTCGTCGCTCCGGCCGGACAGGGCATCATCACAGTATGGTGAGGGGCGTAACATTTCCGTCACATGCTTGAGGTATTCGGCCAATCACAATGCACTGGATAGCTGGCCAATCAGAGAACACCTCGCTTTTCAGACTGATGAGCTTTGTAAAAATCGACGCGTTTAAGGAAGGCGGGGCATAGAGGAGAAACAATAATGTACAGTAAGTGGAAAATAATGTGTTTTTTGAACCTTAAAACACATAAACACATTTCATTACACCAAATACACAAAATAATGTTCTTTTTAGCAAAGTTCTTTTTAGTTCTTTCTGATGAAACCAAATTAAACTTTTGGGCCGTAATATTACCTGAATTTCATCTTTCAGCTTGATAGTAACCTCAAACACGAATGGCATCAGAAGAAAAAGAAGAAAGTTTGCCGAGTAAGAACCCAGACCTAAATCTATTTGAAAACTTGTACCAGCCAGTACACAAGAGATCCCCCTGCAATGTGATCAATCTAGAGCTCTTTTGCAAGGAAGAGTGGGGAAAAAATGACAAATCAAGATGCGCTGTGTTGATGGACTTTTATTCAAAAGAAATAATTAAAAGCAAAAAGTGTTTCAACCAAGTATTTAGTTGAAGGGTGTGCACATTTGTGCAACCAGGTTATTTTAAGTAATTCTTTGTTTTTCATTAAGTTTCTATTTGTTTGTTACTTGATTTTAATACTGCATTAAAGGTGGAAGAAGTTCTGACATAATTTATCTTGGATTCATTTTTTACAGCTCAAAAACCTTTCATTTTAACAGGTGGGCGGACTTTTTATAGCCACTAAATGTGGAAGGAATAGAGCAGTAAATAGTGATCTTTTCTGTCTAGCATTTGAAAATGTATTTCATTAAAGGCAGAGTAAGTGATTTCTGGTAGCCAATGTTTATATTTGAAATCACCAAAACAAACACGCCCCTACCCCAAAGGGTCTTGCCCCTATTTTGATAGCTCCGCCCCACATATACGTACGCAACCCAGGCAACGATTAGTTCTGTGAAACAAAGCAAAACCAATGTTACACCGTGTCTACAGACGTGAGCGGCGCGGCGCAACAAATCCCGACAGAAAACTGCTGCCGGGTTCTATTTATGACGTGCTGACACAAATTTCAAATGGTTTTCAACGGTCGTTTGATCGCGTCCAGTGTAGGCAGACTTTAGCTGTTGTAGACACGGTGTTACTCACCTATTGAGAAGAAACAAAGCAACCTCGGCGTCCGATCGCAGGCCTCCGCTCCTTGAGTTCTCTCCAGCGCTGGAAAGCTGATCCGATATTTATCCGCCATCTCTATCTTTCTGTCGCTCGGCTCGGCTAATGTCCGTTCCATGCACTGAACGCGCTCTCCTCCACATCACGAGTAGACACGCCCCTTATTGCTGATTGGCTACAAGTTTGTTTTGCGATTCGGCCCGAATCAGTTTTCTAAAGTGTTTTTGAAAAATCACTTACTCTGCCTTAAAGTGCCACAATCTTTACCTAGAAATGTTTGAATATCTTTTCTCAACCTGCTTTTATCCAGGCCCTTCAAGACAAACCTTCATTCCAAAAATTATTTTTTAAATCTGCACTTTTAAATCTTGTCTTGTTTTCCATTTAAAAAGATCTAAACCTCTCTAAAACAACAAACATTTAATTGAAGCAAAATTAAAAATTTAGAAAAAAAATCGACACCAATCTTTTAGCTATCAGGGAGATTTTATTCATGATATTAGAAAAAATGCTCATAGCACCTTAAAGTGCTTTTTGGGAAATTTCTATCAATTGTTTTATGTCCTCAAAATTATTATTATTATTATTTTTTTTTTTTGTCTTTTTTTCAGATACGCAGAGTCAGTGGGTGCAAAACACTATCACACATCAGCCAAATTAAACAAAGGCATTGAGGAGCTGTTTCTGGACCTGTGTAAACGTACGTTATTTTTAGAAGCTGTGTATCATGTCCGTCTGTCTGCTTTCCATAACACAACAGGCTTCACGATTAATTGAAACCGCTTCAGAGTGTAACGTGGCACTGTGTTCTTTCACACACAAGCAGCTCATTATTCATTGTTTTCAGTGGCTGAGGTCACAGTAAATGCCACTCTACAAAAACCCCATTTTAGCATCTGAATTTTGCCTTGCTTATAGCGTTCATTTGGAAACGCAACATATGCCAATTTTCTTCCCAAGTTTTTAATGAGAAGTGTTTATAAATCAGCTTTTGTTTGCGCAAATTCAAGCTCATTGGTTTAATGTTTGAAAATGAAGAAAAATAAATATTAGTATTGTAATTTTACAGTTATACTGTAAAATATGATTTTTAAAAATACTATTTACAGTGAAATACAATAATATTTATACGATAATAATATTTCTTCTTTTTAAAAATATTTTTATTTAATAATAATATTAATAATAATAATAAATTATAATTTTTTTAATTATATATTTTTTTTCCAAAATCACTCTGGTCATTCTGTCTTGATCTTTGTAGACTTTTGAAACGATTTGTCAGGATTTCATTTCATAAAATTTCACAGCAATGGTATCATAAACTTAGCTTTAAAAAAAACGAGAGAGAAGGGGGGGGGGAGGGCTTTTTTTTGTCAAAAAAAAAAGTTTATCAAAAAATAATGTAGACTTCTCCTTTTATGCAGATTTTGTTTTTCAAAAAAAAATGTGTCTTTCCCAAAAAGGTTATTGGTTCTTTTAATTGAAAGGTGTGGGTTCCCTAAAGGGACAAGAGTCCTGTGTTTGACAGAACCAAGGAGGTTTTTAACTCTGTCATACACACATTCATGCGTCATGTAGCGCTACATCAAAAAGTTTATTACATTTTTATATTTTATAGTTTATTACTATCTGTTTTTAATTTGTCATTTTCACTGGCATCTGTAGGCATGATGGAGATGGCTCAGGCAGAGGAGAGGTCAAGGGGGAACGGCGCGAGTCACACAAGCACAGCCCGGAGAGGCGTACAGATTGTCGACGATGAGCCGCAGACTGCCATGCCTGCCGGAGGCTGTTGTACATCTGGCTAAACACACTTTAACCCCCTTTTACCATACCTGGGACTGATAACGGCCTCTCTCACCCTCCTCTGTGTAAGAACTGCCACTTCCCACAGCTACACCCGTCTGCGACTGCTCTACAGCTCTGTCAATCATTTCTTTAACAGTTTGTTCCTTATTGAAAGGGTTGATTTGCAACGCCACCCTTTGCCGGCAGACTTTAGAGTCGAAAAGATGCCAGATTGACCTGTGCTGAAGATATTCACTTAAACAAATTATTACAAAAATGATAATGCCCAGTCGTATAAAACACACATGCACTGATACAGTTCCCTAACAATCTGATATGTTAGCACTTTTTCTTCTTTTGGCAAGTTGTTGTGCATGTAGAATCTTTAAAATCCTAGTTTTATTTTACGTCTAAGAAAAAAAATAATAAATTCTTTATTATTTAATAACTTATTTACAATTTCATCAACATGTCCAAAGACCTTTGTTCTTCTTGTAACCGATGGGCTTGTGTCATTCTAATACAGTCTCATTCTTCTGTCATTCATATCTTCTGTATCTTTCTTAAAAATGCAACATTAAAATCCATCTAGAACATTTAAACTCCTTGTAGATTTTGTCTTTTCTCTTCAACTTGCTGATTTACCACTAGCCAAAATTTGAAAAGGTAAAACAGAAATATATTATGTTGTTTGCTTGCTAAATTCTTTATTGGCAAAAATATCCAATACTGTGTACTTTACTTTTCAAACAATCAATTGCAACAGTGAGTCAGAAAAGTGTACCATATTCGATATTAATGTTGTATGAATGTATAATGAATAATAATGGTTTAAAATTTGTTTTATATTTTTTGGATTTGTGTTTTTTAAACCTGAACATTTGGACAACAGTTTTTGAAAATACGAATAGTTTCCACAACCACATCACCTGTAAACACTGAGGTGCAGCTGTGAGCCTTCTGTGCCTTTAAATAAAAGTGTCTAGATTGACCCTCCTATTGTCTCCTAGCATATATTATTTGAAAGAAGTTGTTTACTTAATTTCAAAGAGGTTTTACAGTGGGACAGTCGCATTAAACATTGGTTACACATGTGACCATGGTTCTATGACTGGATAAAGATAGAGAGTAAAACACCTAAATGTCCTTCTCCTTGTTCAGAACCCAATAAAAGCTGTCACTATGTAATTTTAATGACGTATATGTCAATAAATGTCTGCCTACAAGTCTTCTCAGTCATAGTTTATAATTTAATATTCTGAACCTGCACAGAATTAGTGTGTGTGTGTATATATATATATATATATATATATATATTGAATAAAAAACACACACACACACACACATATATATATATATATA